ACAGTGCATTTAATTAGAAGACGTTTTTAAAAATGTGGTAGGCCTCTCTTTGAAAGAAGCTCAGTATGAAATTATTTAAAAGTAATATAATAGATTCTTTTTTCCCTGGAAGCACTCTTAGTGTTGTTGAACAACTCACCCACATCCCAGAGATTTATAGTTCGCTAAGGACACATAAACAAAATAAGATGAAATAATTTCTTTTCCCTTTTCCACAAGGTCTCTACAACCCGCACGATGGACCACCACCAGCAAACCTCCCTCAAAGGGTTATTTCTCATTATATATATAGATTTATGAAGAATTTGTAGATGTGTACTGATTTGAATTAGAGCATGTACAGACCAGATCTGCTGCAGCAAATCTCTTGCAAAGGCAAAGCTGTAGCCTCAGATTCTGAGTGTTCAGAAGGAGAGGAAGCGGATGCTGGGAGAGATTCAGAGGGCCTCAAGAGAAATGTTTTAGGATCTCCTGGCAGGTCCCAAGAGAAAGGTGAAAGCGAGATTCATTCCCATGAGAACCTTCTAGAGGTGCAGACTCTGAGGGACGAATGTGTGTCGAAGTCACAGAGATTACAACTGAGACAACAGGGCCTGCAATTAAGCACTTGCTTCTCCAAGCAAATTAGAGATAAGGAAAGGAAATTCTGGCTTCTTAAAAGTGGTTCATGCTAGCATGCTCCTTGTGAGAGCAACGTTGCAATCAGGTCAAGAACTCTTGGTGTCATGGGCCTTGTAATTCATGTAACCAAGTCTCCAAGCTGTTCCTGTGTTCTGGTCTCATCAGGCATAGTTTTGCCTGCTTTGGATTTCTGTACCTGGCCTTGGAATCATCTCAGTGGGATTGTGTTAGAGACTTCCACTGTATGAATTTTTGGACTTTGGCTTTCATGGTGATAACCTTTTGAACTTTGATTCCTTTTGTATACTTGCTTGCTTTTATTATACTCTGCTTTTATTAAACTTTTACATTGGATTGTCTGGACAGTGTGTGGTTTGTGTGAAAAGAGGCCTCAGGGCTGTAGTGCAACAGGTAAAAGCCCCCCAACCTTTTAATAGGATGTATCCATCTTTACAGCTTCTGCATATATTGTATTCCTTCCTTGCAGCCTTTGCCCATGTTATATCTTTTATTCCTTATCCTATCTCCTACTCTATAAAACCAAAATATATTAAATTATATGATCTCTGCCAGAGACAACCACAGGGTGATCACTCCCTGTTGGACCCACCAAGGAATTTCCTGGATACTTGGATTAGGCTAATCCCTTGGGTAAAGGTGACAATCAAAGTCTCATTGTGTGTGTGTGTGTGTGTGTGTATGTATGCAAATGAGCAGGTGGTCTTTGCTCTGGATCTGATATTGCTGGACTGGTTCTTATCCAACTGACTATCTCAATCAGTTGAAATATTGGTAGCCATGGAAACAGGGACTCATTTGAATGATCTTATTTGATATCCAAAAACTTTTATTATAGATCACTACCTTTTTGTTTTAAGGTCCCATCCCCTGTGTTCCCCAGAACATTTTTGCATCACCAAAGACTCAAAATATACATCCAAGTCTGGACACTTTGTTTCAGGGACCCCAGATACATGATCACCCAAACCCAGACTATTATGCTAGCGGAAAAGTCCTCTAAGCTTTCCAAATATGGGCAAGGACTTCCTGGACCTGCCGGGAGAGCCCCCCAATAGCTGATTGGCCCTCCCCAGGCCCAGTCCTCCTTTGTCTCCTCCCCTCCACCAACGTAACCCTGTCTGGAGGTGGTAATGTCACCACAGTTCCAGGCAATTCAATTGCTGCTTCTGGCTGCCCCCTTCGCTGGCTAATCAGGAAAAGGAGAGGATGGAACAGGAAACTTAAATAGCTGTCAACTGTAAAAGAAAAACTCATGTCTCTGTATTTCATGTTATGCTTGTACTTACTTGCATCCTTTCTGGCCAGATCATAATTAAACCTTTGTGGCTGTCTTTACCTGGTAAAATTGTTCTTTAATCTGAAACTTTAGGCTGTTAACGTAATGCTTGCCAGGCAGGACCCTCTTTTACCCGCAGTTCTACTCTAAATTTGACCTCATATGACTCCCTCTTCTACACTGCCATATAAAATCGAGATGATCTGCTTTGAATTGGATTAAATATTAATAATATTAATAATAATAATAATAATAATAATAATAATCTTTATTTATATCCCGCCCCATCTCCCTTGAGGGACTCGGGATGGCTTACAACCAAATCAATTAGCAATAATTTCACAGTGGATTAACCTCATTGGCTACTATACTGCCACTGTGCAAAGATGTGTAGATTCATATAATCCAGTTCAAAGCAGGCAGATAATGTGGATTATCTGCTTTGACAATTTGGATTATATGGCAGTGTAGAAGGGGCCTTTGTCCCTTTTAGAGAAGTTTCATTGAAATCAATAGAATATGTGTAAGTGGAAAAAACATCCCATTCTTTTCATTGGGTTTACTGTAGCTTGACTTAAATTTTGGATTAAAGTTTTGCAGTTTAATGTATATTGCTTGAATGAGCATTTGGGATCTGACATGTTGATGCTTGTTTCAGACTGTTGAATAATGTCATTATGTAGTGTGACAAGACAGCACTTCTGAATCTTCTTCCAATAATGAAAAGAATATTGATCAGACATTGAAGGCCTTCATCCACACTACTGAAGTGTCTATTAAAATGATTTGAAAATTGCACCTACGGACAAATTGACCCACTTAGCTTATTGAGAACATGCAGTAGACTTCTCCCTCAGAAATGGCAACTGTTTATTAGTTCCTGGGAATCAATATTGTGACATATAGAGACTTGATCCTGTTGAATGAATGTGAGAATGGTTGCCTTTTGCTTTGCTTTTAAACCTTAGACCCTTAACTGGGGCTGAAGTAGAGAAATGGATTAATTGTCTTTGAAAGCTTTTCTTGGCTGCCCTTCAATAAAGTAGGCATGCAGTGTTTAGCAAAAATGTCGGTATTATTCAGGATATGTGGATTTAAAATTCTTCAAGTGGATAGCTCAGTTTGCTTGTGTCATGCAAGCCCTTTTGAAAAAAATAATAACTTGGGTTTTCATTGTGTGGTTTTTGTCTTAATAAGCAAACTTCTCCATAATGATTTGATCCCAAATTGTGTTGAATGACTGGGTTGCTGTGAGTTTTCCAGGCTGTAGGGCCATGTTCTAGAAGCATTCTCTCCTGACATTTTGCCCACATCTACGGCAGGCATCCTCGGAGGTTGTGAGGTCTGTTGGAAACTAGGCAAGTAGGGTTTATATATCTGTGGAATGTCCAGGGTGAGAGAAAGAATTTTTTTCTGTTGGAGGCAAGTGTGAATGTTGCAATTGGTCACATTGATTAGCATTCAATGACCTTGCAGCTTCAAAGCCTAGCTGCTTCCTGCCTGGAGGCCTCCTTTGTTGGGAGTTCCCCAGTTTTTTGAGTGTTGTTCTTTATTTACTGTCCTGATTCTGGAGTGTTTTTTTTTAATACTGGTAGCCAGATTTTGTTTATTTTCATGGTTTTCTCCTTTCTGTTGAATGCAATCTGCTGGCATGTTCCATCATATTGGTGTAACAATTAAGATTAATAATGGTTAGTGATTTTGGGTTTCCTTTTTAAAAATTGATAAATTAAGAAGTAGAATATCACACATAGTCTGGTGTAGATAATGTTGCTTTGAACTGGGATCCAGAAAACGATATAACTGCGTAGTTTGATTCAAAGAACTCTTTCGGCTCAGTAAAGAAATTTTTATTCATTGACATTTCAGAAAGGATTGGTAATAAATTATTTTGGAAAGGAGGACAGTATGACCTTTTGGTCTGATTAGGCAGGACTCTTCCTGTGATAAGATAAAACTCCCAAAACACACATAATTCTTGGTAATGGAAGGTTGCTTTTGGTGCAACTGGTTAGATTTGTTGCTCAAACTGTTGTTAAGACTAGTTTGTTACCATGTGGTCTTCTGTTAAGACTTAGGCTACATCTAAACTTGCTATTTAATGTAGTTCGAAGTTAGCTTCAAACTGTGGTGGCCGGATAAAAAAATTCCTACAAAAGCTCACAAAAAGGCCTTAATGTGCACCAATGCCCTTTAGTTGATGTAATTACCATCTAGGCCTTAAACTGGTTCCAGGATTCCTATGTAATTACCTGCACATTGAAGCCACTTTCTTCAATACCAGTTTGAAACTTCATTAAATGATTAGTGTAGATAGGACCTCACTAGTCAAAGGCACACAGCTATATAACCCAGAAAATCAAGGCAGATAACCCACAATATCTGCTTTGACCTGGGTTATTCAAGTCCACACTGCCATATAATCCAGTTCTATGTGGATTTTATACAGCTGTGTGGAAGAGGCCCTAAACTTTCATAGGCACAGCCCATTAGATGTCTGGGTGATGGTATCCATGATAGCTTGTGCTAGAAAACTCTTTTCCCCAAATCTGTTATTTGCTTCTTTTACATCTTTTAATACTCAGGGTATTAAAAGATGAATCCTATCAATACTCAAGATGATCTGCTAGTACGACTCTGTAAAAGGCAGTTTCCTGTGCTTCTGTTCAGAATTTGATATTGCCATCTTGCATTTATATATTCCCTAGAGATAGATTGTTCTAATTGCTTAATATATTATTGCTTTGATTTTTTTCATTAGTGGTTTTAAACTCTTCCCCAGAGTAACTGTGCATGTTATCAGGAGTAGGAAATTTGTGCTCATACAGATGTCATTGGACTGTGTCTCCCATGAGTTCTAGATAGATGATAGAAGTTTCATTCCTGCAACATCTGATGATTGTTTGTGCTATATGTTCTCCCCCAATTTTGTATATGTGAACCACTATTTGTTACAGCAAGTGTATGTTGTATATGGATAAACAATGTATATGGGTAAAGGATATCCTTCTTAGTTTGGCTGAATTGGTGGCAGGTGGGGCTTGCCATTTTAAGTAGCACTAATTTTCCTTCCCTTGTTTAGGTCATGTTGGCTGCTTCTTACTGGTCACTTCTTGAACCTGCCATCGAGTTAGCTGAAGACTCTGAGAAGTTTGGGGCATTTGCGTTTTTCCCGGTAGCTGTTGGCTTTACCCTGGGAGCGGCCTTTGTGTACTTTGCTGACATCCTCCTCCCTTGGCTGGTGAGTAGTCCTGTCACCATGACTGTTGTTGTTGATGTCCATTTGTGACATCACATGATGGAAAAGCTAAAAGATAAGTTGTTGCATAGAGTGCTTGTCCCTTCTTTTCTCCTGAAGCTATTTTGTACATTTGAGAAGAGCTAATGATGGTGTCCGTGCCTCTTTCTTTGATGTTTTACCCCCCTTTCTGAACCTAGAAGCTTCTTAATTGACCCTTATTTATAGTTGTTGGAGCCCCCGGTGGCGCAATGGGTTAAAGCTTGTTGACTGAAAGATTGCAGGTTCAAATCCAGGGAGTGGCGTGAGCTTCTGTTATCAGCTCCAGCTTCTGCCAACCTAACAGTTCGAAAACATGCAAATGTGAGTAGATCAATAGGTACCGCTCTGGCGGGAAGGTAATGGCATGCCATGCAGTCGTGCCAGCCACATGACCTTGGAGGTGTCTATGGACAACGCCAGCTCTTCAGCTTAGAAAATGGAGATGAGCACCACACCCCAGAGTCAGACACGACTGGACTTCATGTCAGGGGGAAATCTTTACCTTTACCTTTATTATAGTAGTTGTCAAACACACAGCTCCTCCACATACTAAAATCATGGAGCTGAGAAAAGTTACCGTAGTTTTCTGAGCTTCAACTCCCAGAATTGGGATGACTTTGTTTATATATTTTCTTTGCCATGACCTCATTTTGTTTCAGAAGTAGGAAACATATCCTTGATATAAATGCTGCAATAGATTCTCATTTGACTGGCACCCATGCATATTGGTAGATGCCAGATAAATGTTGTTTCTTGTTGCTTGAGAGTTACTATTAAAATAGGCATAACTAATCCTATCCTACATTCTAGACCAGGGGGCCTCAAACTTTTTAAACAGAGGGTCAGGTCACAGTCCCTCAAACTGTTGGAGGGCCAGATTATAATTTGAAAAAAACACGAATGAATTCCTATGCACACTGCACATATCGTATTTGTAGTATAAAAAACACTTTAAAACAATACAATAATTAAAATGAAGAACAATTTTAACAAATATAAACTTATTAGTATTTCAATGGGAAGTGTGGGCCTGCTTTTGACTGATGAGATAGGATTGTTGTTGTGGTTGTTGTGTTCTTTCAAGTCGTTTCAGACTTAGGTTGACCCTAAGTGAGGGCCAGGTAAATGACCTTGGAGGCCCGTATCCGGCCCCCGGCCTTAGTTTGAGGACCCCTGTTCTAGACCATGCCATACACTTTGTATTGAATCGATATTAAAATTGAGATGTAGTAATTAAAAGCAAATTAAGACAAATTTAATGTAACAATTTTACTGTTTTACTATATTATAAAAACAACTTTTTATTTAAAGTATTATTTTTTCTAATGTTTGCAGGTTGCTTGAGAGGTTTTTGTGTCCATTTTTTTATTTTATCGTGTATAAAAAAACAAAAGAGAAAAAACAGAAAAAGGCATAAATAAAATGAAATGAAAAAATAAAATAAATTTAACAAGACGTTATACAGCTATCAAATGCAAATTATATAAGAGCTTCTAATAATTGTACAATTATGACTTCTTATCAAACCCATGCCCCTCTTATTCACACACCTGTGAACCCAACCCAAGACCTCCGACACCATTCAATGTGGATCTCATATCTAACAAGCATCTACCCTTGTATCTTGTTTTAATAAATTCCCTTTGTGGCTATGTTCAAATCTACCTTTGCCTTCCTAGCCAAATGCCAGCCTCCATTTATTTGCAAATTCTTCATTATTTCCTCCTCTAGTTTGTTAGTTTGGCCATTTGGGTAGACTTTAGTAGTTTATCTCTCCAATCTTCAAAGGTTAACTCTTTTTCCCCCTTCCAGGATTTTGCTCTCATTAGTCTTGCAATTACAAAGCTGTATTGGCAAATTTCTTCATGTCCTACTTCAAGCTTTTGATTGCTTCGATACCATTACTATTCACTCAATCTAAGGCTCCTTTTACACAGCCACAAAAATCCAGATTATCTGCTTTGAACTGGAGGTATTGTTCCATTATCTGGGCGGGGGCCACAAAGGGGTGCTAGAGAGAGCAGGATAGCCTGTTTTATGGGGGAGGGGATTGAAGGAGTTAAACCATGTCCCCCGTTTCTCTGTTATTTCCCCCAATTTGTCATCAAAACAACTATTGTTTATGATATGGGAAGGAGAGGGAATCACCAGCAAAAATGGGGAACCCCCCCCCCCCCCCCCATAAAATGAACTATCCTTCTCTGTCCAAGCCGTCTTTTGGAGTCCCCTCAGATAATGGAACAGTACAGAATTGCATTATATGGCAGGGCAGACTCTGATAATCCAGTTCAAAGCAGATAATATGGGTTATCTGCTTTGATAATCTGGATTTTATGGCAAGCGTTGGTTTAGTGTAAAATAATCCATTATCCATTTTATCCCCCTTCCTCCTATCCTTTATTCTCTAAGCAGGATCTTATCATAGCAGCTAGAGATTATACAACAATGGCCATCATCTATAAAGGAAAGCCACAATCTGTGCTGTAAAGCAGGCGTGAGAAAATCTTAGTATCGGAGATACTTAATATAGGGAGAATCATATTTGTTGGAAATTACAACCTTCTTCAAGCCTCCTCTAGTAATCTCTCAAAGGTCATGCTTTTCTAAAAAGATTTTGTCAAGACACTTGGCACATTTCTTTATAGCCTTCATTGATTCGACGTTTAGACCATCTCTCATTGACTTTTCAGTTTCTTGTGTGTTTAAACTCTGTCCTTAAAAATGCAAATAATCTCACCTATGTGTGCATCTCATGCTAGAAACTAGCATTGCACCCTGGAGAACTCTTGTCATACTAAAACTAGTGTGCGTGTAGAGGCCTGAATCAAATGATTACTGAAGTTCAAATCACCTCTGTCTTTAACAGACCACAGTGGCCATTTCTCTTTATTATTGGAGACAATTTCAGACCACAGTTTGTTACAAAAAGAGCTATCTGTACAATCCCTGGCTTCCTCTCCGAGAAGGTTCATTTGGCATTATTACTTCTCTGTGGAATAAGCATACCATACTTTATGTGCTCATTGCCACTTTGTGCATTCTGGTTAAAGTCCGGTGTGGGTGTGTGTGTGTGTGTGGGGGGGGGGGGGGGGAGAACACAGCTTCACTATTTTGCTGTCTGTAAATTGTTCTTGACTGAAACATAAACAGAATAAAGATTTCTTTCTAGCCTAAATGACATCTCAGATTCATTCTCCTGTCATTTCAGAAATAGATAGATTTCATATGGTTAGGCAGCTCTAACACAGTGACTTCTAAGAGCAGGAAAGTAGCTGTTTTATAGGACTGTACATACCTGTTTTTTTTTTTTTTGTCTTCCTAACCTCATACAATATCTCAGAGGTTAGTTTTGGAGAGTTGTTTCAACTTTTTTTGACAGTAGATAGGGCTTGGAAAAATTATTTTACTGGACTGCAGTTCAGAAAATCATGCCACCAGCATAGCCATTGACCATAGTTTCTGTAACAGTTGTCCCTGATTATCAGTAAGGCATTGCTGGCAAGTGAAGGCATCTGTCACATGGCATATTCAGAGCATTGCTTCAGATGTTTTGGACAAAAGGATTGCAGTAATTCATTCTTTTATATATATATTAGTTTCCAGTATCTTTTTTTATAAGAGCAATTTATTAAAAGGATAAATTGTATTTCTTAAACCACTTAAAGCTGGCAAAAGGCATTGCTGAGCATCTGACTCAACTGTTTCCATCAAAAGCACTAAATTCAGAAACAATCACAGACCTCATACCTATGGCCCCTTCCACACAACTGTATAAAATCCACATTGAACTAGATTATATGGCAGTGTGGTCTCAGATAATCCAGTTCAAAACAGATATTGTGGATTATCTGCCTTGATATTCTGGGTTATATGGCTGTGTGGAAGGGTGCTTAGATACTTCCTGGAGAGGCAGATCATGGATATTCTGAACCAGAAAAAGAGTGGTCCAGCTACCAAGGAAAAGTTGAAGGGGAGGGGAGATACTTAATACCACCATCACCACCTTTTGTTTGTCCCTGTATTATAATATAATTTTCTAAAGCTCACCAGCCTCTGTATTGGTTCTGTCAGTGAAAAAGAATGACCAGCAAAGAAAATAAGCAATATTCTAGGATTACAGACCGGGGAGGTTTTCATCATTTATGTAATTGTTGAAGAACACAAACACACAACCATAGTCCTGCAGACACTCTCAGCCCATAAATATTTTCAGCAAATGTACATGTTAATCATAAAACAATAAGTTGTTGCTTTCAGTAAGAACATGCAAATGGTCTCTGTGGAAGACATAGTTTTATATTAAATTATTTCTGAATAATTCTTTGCACTAGGTGAATGGGGAGGGACATCTCATTGCAGACTTGGCTCAGGCAGAAAAAGAGGGAATGAGATTTCCCTCTCAGTTTTCCAAGCAGGGTCAGTCCTGGCTAGTACTTGGATGGAAGACTGCCAATGAATTCCAGGTGCTGTATTTCAGAGGAAGGAACTGGCAAAACCACCTCTGAGTATTCATTGTCTAAAAAGCATTTGAAATGTATGGGGTTGCCATAAGTTGATATGGGAGTTAAACCTATATACAAGCATATCCAAGTACAATGGCATGGAGAGAAGAGAGAAGAAAAAGGTTTCAAATTAGATTAATATCCTAGTAAACAGGATGCAAAAATGCATGGTGTTTCTTGTCCTTCAAGATCTGATGCTTGTACGAACATCTACCTGGTTAGCCAGTAGACAGCTAAGCAGACACCTGCCATGAAGCTGAACAGTAAAGAAGTAATCTTGTGCTTATCTCTCCTTCTTTTCTAACATACCAAACAGTGGGTAACTAGATAGGGAGTAGGGGCTATGCTATAACATCTTCTTCCCCTGGACTACGGTCCTCATCCAGTCTTTGTTTTCACCTTTTCTAAGCAGAAAATCATTAGCAAATGTTAAGATGAAACTTATACAGCCACCTGTAT